GTTTCTCCAGTGCTGTGGGAGCGCTAGCTAATATAGAGAATAAATAGAAAACAACGTGTCAAATCCCATCAATGGGGTTTAAATGCTTTGCATACGTGACATAATAAGGAAAATGACCCACTACAGATTTACCTCCAATAAAATGTAAACATTTTTAATGGCCTGGCTTCTCTTGATCAATTCAGAAGAAACACCAGAGTCCCTAAGCAAGTGGTACCTTCTAAATTAAGATGAAAACAAAACAAAGACAGAAAAAAAAAAATCTTCCACTGGTCAAAACAAATCAGCAGAGCCATGATCTAATGATGCGCTTCACTGCTTTTTTTCCTAATCAATGTCAGCAGCAGCAGCAGCAGCGTCTGTTACGCAAGCAGGGGTTCAGAAATAACTCTGCAGACAGCAGCAGGGAGGTAAGCGTTAGCAAGGGGAACCTGGGATGCTTCAGTGGTTTGATGCTGCAATCAGAGAAGGGATTGACAGGGTCATGATCTGAGCCAAGTGTGCTTCTGAGTGCTTCTCCGCTCTCAGTTCAGAAACTGGAGCTATCTGAGTATTAACTGAAAGGTCAGAGAGGGCAGGGGAAGACTGCAAAGACTCAGTTTAACCAGCGAGCTAAAGGCTCTTACTGCAGCTGTCAAAGTTGACGCATTATAAGCATGTCATTAATATGAACATTTAAATGCGTTAATATTGCATAATGTATAATTATAGGTTTGACACAGAGGGAAGAATGACAGCGAAAGATTTATCTTTACAAACAGCAGACAACAAAACTTAAAAAATTTATATCATTAGCCTGAATATGCAAATCACCTGCATGAATTACGCCGGTCAGTTAGCTGGATGAGGACAAGCAGCGTTCATGTCAACGTACAACTTCTATGTGAAATAAATGCAGACGGACGATTCTAAATTATCGTTTAAAACAAAGTGGCTTCCTTTAAAAAACATGGAAAACTGATCGTCAGACATGTCCGGTTTGAGACAAAAACATTTTCTTTAGCGTCATTAGAAAACATGCTTACAGAAATAGTTTTTCATAGAGGGCTTATGGGCAGTTGCCCAGGGCGACATCAGAAAGGGGCAGAGTCAGTTGTCCCCTGAATGACTTTTCTGCTACTTGCATTCTGGTGTAGTGGAGCAAGTTTCCTTTAGCTGCTGTTGAGTCCTGGGAGGCTACACCACCTGCTTTCTGCCACAAAAATAATAAATAAATCTGATTGCTCGTATTTTAATGTGTGGGAGTGTGGCAATCTTACAAAGTTAAGCAGAGTGATTAATCACAACAACAGTGATTAATCTGATAAATTGTATCAATCCATCAACAACACTAGTTTTTACTTTATCCATCTAACAAATCTCACCTTTTTAAAACATATTAAATATTGATATTGAGTTCTGAGAATTAATCATGTTTCTCCACTCTCCAGTCCTCAAAGGCACTCCCTCCATTATCTGCTCCCCAGACATTAAGCCCATTTTGAGCCGGGCAGAGGAGCAGAGGGAGTCTGGACGGGAGGAGGGCGGCCCTTCAGATCTCCCCCAGATGTGTCCTTTAATCCTGTAATTAGCCGCAATTATAGTAACAGATCCAGGAGATGAAGTGATCATATTTGCACACTGATTATTCCTCCAATCACGAGACACCATGCTTCTTTTCCTCGCCTCCTGTTTTATCGCCCCGTTCTGTCCTGACTCCTCCTTCCCCCTTATCTCTCCTTACCACTCTCCACCTCCACCAATCCATCCAACCCACCCCATCTCCTCCCGCTCCTCCTTTTTGTCCCAGGTGTAATTCATCAGGTTTTCAGTCTGAAAAGCGAGGGACACTGAGCAGGTTGAAAAAATGAAAAAAATAAATAAGACAACAGAGCAGGATGGGACACAAAAAGAGCCCCTTCAGATGTTGCAGATGATGCCTTTAATCCTGTCAATAGCTGCAATTATAGTAATTATCTCTAATAGCGGAGCATTGTGTTCAGCCTCTGATATGTTTAACAGATGATGCAGAGTTGTGCCGCCTCCATTCGCCGCGGCGGGAGCTTAGATTGATATTAATGAAATCAACAGAAAACAAGACGAATTGATTATGGTCCCAGGAGGTTTAGAGGATTTTTTCAGCTCTCAGTCGAGGTCTAATGGAGGCCTCAGAAATGATGCCGAGCGGTCTCTGTGTGCACAGAATGAGACGAGAGACAGATGATGCTAAGAGGCAGAAAAGACTCACGGGATGAAGGAAAAAATATGTATTGCAAAGACCAGCGAGGAAAAGACACTGCGCTCCGACGAGACGCTACAATCCACACAGGTTTCAAATTACTACCCCGAAAATGACTGTTCGCACTGTTTTCCATTTGGAAACTTGTTCAGAAAGATGCATTTATCAATAAGATTTCTATGTTGTTTTATCGACTTCATCAGGCCATGACCTTCAGCGCACAGCAGCTCTGAGATCAGTGGAAAGCAGAAAAGATGCAGAGAAAATTGAACTATAGTTATATTTGCAGTTACATGAGTAACTTAATGGAATGAAAAAATATTTTAGGGGTAGTTTTACTACATTGTACTTTTTGCCTTTACTCTTGTTCCTGGACTCTTTTTGTCCTGATGCTAATTTATCTGCTGAGCCATTCTGAGATCAATAAAACACAATAGATAAACAATAGATATCAACACTAGAAGTATTTTACTAACTTGCAATATCCACTCCAAATATTTGTTGCATTTTGGAAGAATGTATTTTCTGCCTGAATTTAGTATTTTCTAATTATATTATTTGTATTTTTTTATTTAGTCATTATACAACCATAGTTTGCACAGAACTTTATAATTTTATCTGTTTGATTAGTTTAAATATTAAAAACATCTTATGAAAGGTTACATCCAACATAGGTAGGCTAGCACACTAGCTAATAGCAAAGCTAAATTTTAAATTTGCGTTTTTGCTCATTTTGAAAACATTTAGTACTAAAATAGTCTTATTACACTTCTTTAAAATATAGTGAAGTAGTCCTACTACAGAGTATAATTTGTGGCAACTACACACCTATAAGTGTGTGGTCACAGTGAACTGATCCCACAATCAGACATAAATCTCTTTATGAACCAGAAAAGTGGAAATATCTCCAAGTTTAGTCCTGAAACGAGAAACGTCTCTTGTCGTTGTTCATTTGTTTCAATGTGTTTTAGATCATTTCCTGTTGGAGCAACTAGGTATGTTAAAGTTTACTTGTTTATGAATCTGGCATTGATCTGTACACCTGGTACGCTGCATGAACAAGCATGATACTGCCACCACCATGCTTCACAGTTGGTACGTACATTGTTGTCATGTTTGTTGTCAATTTGTCGCCTCCATACTTTGATGTCTGTGTTCAAATAACTCGATCTCTGAGACCAGCACCGTCAGTCTATGTTGATTTAAAACTTACAATGATGTTTCCCCTTCATGCCAAAAAACCTGTTATTCCATAATCCTTTCTTCTAAGGCCAAATGTTCAGGTCATGTTTGATACTTGCACAGGATAAGGAGGCAAAGATCACATCAAAACTGTTTTTGTGTTAAACAGGCTGAGGTCGGCTCTACTGATATTTTATGAGCGCCGCTGTGTCAGTGCCTGGAACTAAACCAACGCCAATGAACTCAACTATTTCTGTTTGAAAAGAGTCGTTGAATATTCAGCTGCAACTACACCAGGAAACTCCTGAGGAACTCTAAAACGAGAGACTGGCAGTTTTCACTGCTACTTAAAATTAAAAACAAAGTTTATATAATACAATGTTAATGCCAATATGTCATGTGTTTATGCATATGCAGTTCTAAATCTAATAAATATCAGACTCAACTGATTCCATCCAGATATTTTATACCTGACATTTTAAGAAAATTAGTAAGAAGACGTCAAACGGCTGAAAGACAAACTTTTAATGTTCTTCAGAAAGACCTGAGAAGTATTGATTAGGACCACTTTAAAAAATCAGAGGAAGTCTGGTTGCTTGGAGGGCACACTGGAGCGATGCATCTCTGACCACACACAGCAGCTTCTCTAAGTCTTGAAGAGGCAGGTTCTTGATGCAGTGATATCACAAGCAGACAGAGGAGAGCCGGTCAATAATTCATTAGGTAGGGGGTTAAACTCAAGTTCAACCTGAATAAACACCCTACAACTATTCTTAGGAATTCACCAGAGTCATCCTCACACACTCAAACTCACACTCTTAAGACCTTAAACAATCTCTCAACGTTTAAAACTTTAAACTTAAAACTTACGCTTGAATTTTCCCATCTATTGAATGCATTTTACATTTGATGAATCATGAACTCACAATGACTTTGCTTTCACAGCACAGCTCCGGTTTCTAAGCCTGTGTCTGTCCCAGCTGACAGGGTGGTTTCACATGTTCATGTGAAGAGAATATGTCTGACACATCAGTCTGTGGTTCAGGATGAGCTTTGAAAGCGTCTTCCATCTCCCTCCACAGGCAGAGGTGTGCAGAACTGCAACCCGATGCAGCAAAATTACAAATAAAAAAACACACCCAGCCATATTTTGGCAATATGCCGTTAAGTTACTGTTTTTTGGTGTCTGCAAAAATTACAACCAATGCTCTTCACCTAGCAACCTCAGCGAATCCCAACCCAAGCTGAGCTCCAGCAGCTCAGCTTGCTCAACTGGTTTTCCCGTTGTATACGCTGTACAATGGCTGCTGGAGAAGTGTTCTTATTGGCTCATCATCCATAAACCTCTTGCTGCATTCTTGATTGTGCAGGAGGCTCTACTTCTGCTTTTGAAAGATGTACGGTTGCATAATCTTTTTGCAGCCATTTTTACATAAGAGTGTAAATGTTGAGTTTGGGGTGTGTGGCCTAAGACTGATTTTGTCCAAAAAATTATAATGAACATGTTTTGTTCACCCTCAAACTTATTTTAACTTGTTCAAGGAACCTTAATAGGTCACATTTAAAATCTCCCAGAATTCATTCAAACTGATTAGCTTACCTCATACAGAGTGATGACCCCGTTGGTCTCATTGGGAGCTTTCCACTGCATGAAGATCTTCTCTTCGTATGGCGTATTCTGCAGCGACTCCATCGGCACAGACCCGGGCACTGCAAAATAAATCATTTTATTTTCCATTCCTTTTGTATTTTACCGTATTTCATAAACTTTCACAGATAGCTGCAGCCAGGGTATCTTGCCGTTGTTGTAACTGTGAACTTGTGTGTGAATGTTGTCCCTCTTAACACTTTGCCAGACTGAAGATTTCTGGTACCTTCAATTCACAACAGTTAGCAGATCAATTCTGTTCCATAAAAAAACTTCATTGAAATATAGTGAAACTTGTTTTCTTTCGTTTCGAGCTTCGGTGTCATCGCCGATGCAGATTGGCGATTTCATTGCTGAATATAACTCGTCTCAAACCCCTGCAGATTATTGCTTCTTTTTATTCCACAACAACAGAAATGTCATGTGTAAGGACATTTCCTTAGTATTACATTACTACATTTTAGGTTTTTGGATTACTGGCTGCATTTTAAAAATGCTGTTCTCAAAGTCTTCGGGATGAAAACCATCTTTTGGTGAAATTTGTAACTTTCTGATTAAATCTAAGAGAAAAGTTGAGAACGTTTGTTCTTAATAGGGTTTTTGATGAAATGTGGCAGATGTTGGGATACGTTCAGTACGAGCCCAGCTATTATTTGTAAAAAGTAAAGCTAAAGGAAGACAGGCAGGCTGCAATGAGGGCATGCAGGAAATAATCCTGAGGTAACCCTGCAGACAGAATAATGGAACGACTGCTGAGACAAAAAGACAGCCGGCACGCTGATTTCCACAAACTGCAGGCGGATTTTTGACTCACCACTGGGAAACAATTTTGCATTTGCTTAAGGAAAAAAGCAAATAAAAAAAATGTGTGAAATTACCAAGTCAATTACAGATTCAATTCAAATGACTAATCAGATTGAAACGTTCACTTTTGTGTTTTTATTTCAATTACTCAAAGCTTTTTGTTTTCTTAACATCCAGCTCAGTGAGTTTACATCGTTAGCCGTCCAAAACAATTTAAGGGCAGCAGGTTCAACGCTGTAACACAGCAAACGCTACCTCGTAAGAGAGCATGGAGTGTACAGGTTTATGTCTTTTCAGGAAAACAAAATATTTCACTCTACCAAAGTGAATAGACGAGGAGGGGAGTGTCAGACACCTTGTCTGGGAGAAGTAACAGCATGTTAAACATGCACAACCAAAACTACACCCATAAACTGAGACAAAAACACACTGACAGGCGTGAACTGTATGAAATGTTGCCAGGAGGAAGAAAAGACTTGTTTTTTTCTGCTTAAGGTGCTACTCAGGCTGAAGTGAAAAAAGGTTGCGTCTCATTTTTGAGCCCTTCTAATGTTAATCACTGAACTGCAAAGCGGGGATTAAATGTGCAGGTTTTTACGATAGGCTGGTCAAAAGGCTGATCATCGTGTTCATTGTGTCTGTGAATTTCTGATTTCTACTTTATGATATTTAATCAACAACAAAAAACATTTTCAGTTTAGCTAAATGAGAGTCTTCCATGTAGTTAATGTTTGGAAAGAAAAGCCTATTTCATGCACACTGCTTTCCAAGCACATCATTTCAAACATCAACAAAAAGCAGCAAATAAAAGTTAGAAACTCCAAACATTAACAAAGACAAGACAGAAAGAAAGACTTAAAAAAATGTAGGTAAAAATGATGTGTGTTTATTAAACAGGAAGTTAAAAGGTGCTTTAATCAAACAGATTTTGATAGGTCAATATGATCCATAAACTAAAATGTATGGCTTTTCTGTTCATTTGAGGTGTTGAAAACTTAAGAGTCTCTTTGCATAAAGGTTATTAAGCAATATAAACAAGGTTTAATTTGTGTCTAATTTCTTTCAAACACTTTATGGAGAACTCTGGTTTATGGTTTAAAGCTGCGCGCCAAAATTTTTAATTTGGACAACCAGTTTGATAGTTTCAGACTCTGATCCCATAATGGATTCTAATTCAAAGATATTTCTATGAAACCAAGAACTTAAGTTCATACAGGAAGTGATAAAACAGTGGAAATGACCAACAAACTCAAATCCTAGAGTGTTTTTGTACTAAAATTAGAAAACAACACATTTTAAGCTTTCTTGGGAAAAACATGAAAATAGGCATAAATATGTTTTTGAATTATGCTGGGATGAGCTGAACTAAGGGTTATGCAATTTTTAAATGAGGTTTCACGTTTTCCTGGTCGTCCAGAGTTGGAGGAAGCAGTTGCAGTAAAATCTCCTCCTGTTTTATCAACCATTACAAACTGCAAACTCATTACAAAAGAGACAAGTGTTTTATGAGAACAGAGAGATGACCTTGCATGTTTCTGAGCTGCTTCATAGGAAGCTAAAAACAAATTTTCAGAGGAATCACGAGAAAAAGTTTTAGAGTACAAGAGATATTTATGTCCTCTGGTTATTCGATCATGTCAGCAGCTGTTTTGGTAAGAAGAGGCCGGCTTGGAAAAAGAACATCTGTTTGGCATAGACACTATTTGCTCTGACATTTGAGAGACATTTGACATTTTGTGGCGTCGTCACTGTTTTGGAGCGAACGGTGAGTGAGTGAGATCCGATTCCTCGAATAATTGTAAAAATATTCTATAGAGTACTTGATCACTAAAATATTATTTACAACAGGACAGCAGTCGATCACATAGTTCATATTTCTACCCAACATCTGCTTACTCGAGCTGATCAGGGAAGTCAAGATGGACTCCGCCGTAGGAAAAATACACGCCAGGCAGAGCCAAACAAGACAATCTCAATGTTCCTTATGACATTAGAAAACTTTTCCATGATGCTCAGATGTCCGCATTTGGTTGCACATCATAAAATTTATTATTTTTTTAAATCATAAAAACACAGAATAGAAAAGTAAAGCGCTCTGAGTCAGATGTGGGCGATGTGCACATGAATACACAAACATTTAAGGAAACTGTCAGAAGATTTTGATAAGTAATTCCAAGGTGTTGATTAAGGGCCCAGCCCATGGAGTGCATCAAATTACCCTAACAAAGAAATGCAATTACAAACTGCTATTTCATTCAACACCTTATCATTGGAGCGTGTGTCTGACGCCTGTGCTCGCTCTTATCTTCTCTGAAACAATGTCTGTCTTAATGTCGGCGAATATCTGGTGTTTGTGTGCAGCCTGAGCCGCCCTGGACACCTGTGAGTCTGAACGGCTCTGGCTCCATCTTAACTATTGAAAGCAGAGTATGTAAGGAACACACACGTTCACACGTTTTGTGTGAACGTGTGTGTTCCTTTGCTCCTCGGAGGCAGAGACGGAGAAAAACAGTCTTCATTGAAAAGATAACAGCAGCTGTAACACATTAATCATAACTTGATTAACTTCCATCGTGCCACACATTGAATCGTCTGCTTCATTATGCTGGCAGCTCTGTTTTCTATGTGTGATTTTCTCCTTTGTTTTGGTATTTTCTCTAAATCCTTTCTTCTATCCTGAGCTGAACTCAAAGTGTCATTACTGGCAAGTAATGAATCTGTTTTCTCTTTTGTCCAAATCCGTTACAGGGTTTATTCCTTCTTAGCTCTTAATTCTAGCAGAAGCTAATGCTAAAGTGCTAACTTCAGCCATGTTCATTTCTATACTTTAAAGACCCAGCAGCATAAATAAGCAAGTATTTTTTATGCTGATTTCTACCATACAGTGAGTTATGTTTTTTTTTTTTATGTTTTAACATTTGACATTTTAACATATCGATCCAATAGTATTTGTAATTCATGTGGTTCAAGATGCCACAATAATCAAAGGTTAATCCTCTGAGAAAAAATAATGAACAAACATCATCATATGGCAAAGACACTAAAAAACTGATAATATGACAACTACAGGTTCTTAAGCCTTAATGGCAGGAGTTTATGACAAAAACATTTCTAACCAAAGTAATTGTTTTTGTTCTACTAGTCTGATCTTGACCTTCTATGATAAAAGGATTATAAACTGTCAGTCATTATGGGAGAAGATCATGTTTCAGTACTTCAGTAGTGATATATGAGGGCATAAAGTCAAAGATTTGAGATCAGTGTATTTAATATCTGCTTTTTGTTATTTAGAGGTATTTGAGCATGATATTGGATATCTACAGATAAACAACCAAAGCTTTAACATCTAAAAATATTATTTCTTTACCAACAAATACTCACACAGCCTCAGTGTTCTCTTACATGATAAATAAAGTAGGTAAAAATGTTACATCCTGGTTCTGTTACTTTACTCTTTTATTTTTTTACATATTTTTGAAGCATTGGACCAGGACAAAATCAAAGGACTAGGAAGCAAAAACCATCTCTAATAGAAAGGACAAACATTCAATGCAAAAAAAGAGTTAATTATTTAGATTTTCACAGCCGTTTGGTCACAATGACAAAAAGATGAAGCTTTGAACGCAAGTTTGGGAGCAGAGTAGCTAATGAGGGATGTAGAGATGAGCTGGAGGATATGAGCTGCTTTAGAACTGGGCGGTTCTGGACACTAAACTCTCCAACCTTGTGTTAGCAGGGCGGGAAGGATGTTTGATCACCTTCAGATTAGTGTAAAGAAGGCGGATGTTTTACAAGTCTTTACTGCTGGGGATTTCCAGCCCAGTAAGTTTAGATGCTTCTCTTACAACCATATTGATTCCTGCTTCATCCGCAGCCAAACTGTAGAAACAGATTATCAGCGCTCTGTTGAAAACACCTTAAACGTCCTGGCATTACTTAAAAAGAAAAAAAAAAGATAAAACTCTGAAAAAAAGTCACAATTCAGATTTTTCTCTTCAGAATTTTGAATTGAATTTTCTGAGATCAAAAGTCAAATTTCACTGTTTTTTTAAGTGATCCTCTTCTGTAGTTTGAAGTGGCATTCAAACTACAAACTACTATTTCGTTCATTAGTGGCAATGAATATTTCAGTCAATGTGGCAATAAATTCAAAGTTCTCATTCAAACAACATTTTGGAAACAATAATTTCCATTTAAAAACAATTAAATGTCTAATTTAAATAAAACTATTGAAAGCAGAGTATGTAAACTTGTGACTGTGAAGGTGAATCTACATGAAGAGAAAAAATATTAAGTCTTAATTAAAACCTGAAAGGCAGTTATTAGTATTATAATCTAAGGACAATGAGTCATGGGAAAGAAAAAAACAATAATTCATTTCTTATTTGCAAATCCTTCATTTAGACTCTAAACACGGGTTAAAGATAATTTCTATGAAATCAGCTAGACTGGAAAGTAATAGAAAAATTCTTTATTTATGTGCATAAATATGTATATCTGTGTGAGAGAGATGGAAGCCGATTCATTTGCAGGAGCCATTACCGTACAAACAATAATTAGCCTCCGTATGAACAATTGCTCTTCTGTTCCGTAATTACTGAGCTACAGCCAGGAGATTAACGGCGGTTAAACAAAAAGCAATTAAGAACAAAACAATTATCTTTTTTTTAACCCCTTAAAGCTATTTCCTCTACACAGATGTGTTTGCTTCACTTTTCGGGAACATGCAGTTTGTGCGTGCTCAGCTGATGAAGGTTCAACGTTCAGGCTGAGAGCTGATGTTCCCCAGAAGCTAAATTCAAAACATATTAGCTACAAGATGAGCTAAAGAACAGGCAGCCCTGCGTATCAGAGGCTACGCTATTCCAGTTTATCACAGGCAGGGTGCTGGGAGAAATGTAAGACATAAATGAATTATTAGCAGTGGTGGAGGCGCTTGCATTCAGTTCAGTGCAGCATGAGGCCCTCTGGACAGAAAGCAGGAGGCTTAAAAAGTCTGTTCTGATATTTTCTGAATTGCTGGACAACGCATACACTCAGGGCGCTAATAATTTATGCTTGTAAGTTGTCCTGCCGAGGGGCGCAGCAGTATAAACAGAAATGTTGATTAGTGCAATTTGTGAAGGTTGCAGGCATCAGTGTGAAACTTCTGCTACTTTAGAAGCTCCAGATGTCGTCTGAGAGGTGAACATGTGAATAAACGGTTAAAACGAAGACGGCTGCATCTGGACTCGTATCTATGGCTGAGTGTTTGGACCATTGTGGTTTAAGAAGATAAAATATGTGGCCACAAAATTTTATTTCACTAATGTAAAAGACAAAATGTAGATGTTCCAAATGTCCAAACAGTATTAAGTAAAAGGCAGAGATTTTCACAATGTTACGACAATATTTTATGACAACATAAAGTCAGACATCTGCGTCACAAAATGGCACAAAAAGTCGCGAGTAGCTTCTCTTTTTCTTTTAAGTTGCTAACAGATTACCTGGCCATTGAAAAAAAAGTTAATTCAACAACCTTTTGATTGATCTCAGAAATTTTCTAGAAAAAAAAAAGAAATTTCTGAGTTTGAAAAACAAAAAAAATGCTAGAAAAAAATTCTGAAATTTTAAGATTAATCTGATTTCTATAAATACATTTCAAAGTTTGAAAAGTGAAAAGCTTTTTTCTGGAAATTTCTGAAATTTTACCTTAATTTGAAAATCTAATCTAAAACAATTTTGTGTTTTCTTGGATTATTTTTTTACTTTTAAAACTCAAACTACAAAACAAATCTAGAATTTTTTTAGATTGAACCACAAATTTCAGATTTTTTTTTCCCATCAAATTTTAAATTTTTCAACCTCAGAAATGTATACTTTTTTTGACAAAAATGTACTCCCTTTCTATCTACACCACTTTAAATGCCAAACATATTTAAAACATGACAGTATGTGAAAAGTTCGAGAGGTGTAGATAGATCAGCTGACTGATCTATCAGTCAGCTGATAGATGACCTGCATCAATAATTAGTAAACTTGTAAACAAGCTTCCTTGCTGTGTCTGTCTGCGCTCTACATTCCTTAAAAAAATGCAGGTTGTTCAGATTGGAGTTAAAAGCCCCTAACTGCTGGAAGCATTTTCCGTTTTTTCTATGGTCTCCGCAGAACATAGAAGCACTTTTTGCTTTTATGTCTGCAGGTGAGCAAAACCCGCCTGTCAGACACCCAGTGTGGGTTAGACAGCGACATCTCTCATCCTGTCCCTCCTGTTCGAGCAGTCTGCGTTCGGAGCAGGTAGGCGGCTGGTTCAGCTGTTTATTTTCAACTAACCGCCGACGGCTGTTGCAAGGTGTTTATAATGACTCATTTTTTGGGGAGCCGGAGGGTTTCTCCAGGGAGAGCCTGATCGCATACCGAGCTGCTGAAATGCCTCGAGACTCAACTAACCTGCTTATATTCTGGATCAATAGAGTATTATGAAGTTTGATGCCACACGTGTCAAAAGCATTTATTGTTGCCCACCGTCCTCCTCCGTCTGTTTGACGATCTCCTCGCTCTCTTTGCTGCCCTCGGGGTTGGCCAGAACGAGGCGCAGCCTGACCGTGACGAAGGGCCTCAGTCCCCTCAGCGTGTAATGAGACGACGTCTGGATCAACTCCTCAGCTGCAAACTCTTGCTGATTGAACACATACTGGTACTGAACCTGCAAAAAATATGAAAAATAAAATGTTTAGATCACTTCAGGCTGACTGAAACGATTCCAGCTGGAATACAAGATCAGAGAAAGTATAAATTAAAGGTTAAACAACTCTGTCTAGAAAAATATATTAAAATACATTTATTAGCAGTCAGACTTTCTTAAGCCGTTCTCTCCAGGTGTGCAGCTTTTTTTTTCTGACTCATTTTCTGTCCCTTTTTATTGACATGAAGGCAGTCTCCAGCATGTGCTTAAAAGTTGGTTAATAAGTAAGCTAAGGGCAAAAAGAGAGAAAGAAAATCTAAAAAAATGTCAAACTTTCAGCTAACCGCCCTTTAGAAAACAACTAGTTGGTCTTTTCTCTTGGTTGAACTGTTATATTTGGCATAATTCAAAAGTAAGTTGAAAAATGTCTTATATGTGATATATTTTACATGAAATTGGAAATAAAAGCTTGAATATGAAAAAAATGTACTAATATTTAGATGTATTATATGTGTATAGCATATATAATGCTCAATTATTTTGCTCATCAAACTCTGTGGGAAAGAGTAAAAACTTTATCAGCAAGGATGATAGTTCAGTTGAGATGTATGCAGATTAACCAATCAGATTACAAAGAAAATTGCAGAACGTAAAAAAAAAAAAAAAAAAAAACTTTTGATCAATCGTATTTAAAACATTATAAGAAAGCCGGCTGTTCAAAAGGGAAATATTTGGAGAAACAGATCAGAGATTCATCCTCCCAGCAGCTGCTGGACTTTGTCTCCATCACTAATTAGTTGCACATTTCTTTATGTCAGAGTATCCCATTTTTAATAATTGCATAGTATTATGTAAATTTGTCATTAATGTACAATATGTTGCTCTTTGTTTTGCCATCGAGGGAAGATAAAGTTTTTTCTTTTCTATTCAACTAAAAATTTCAGTAAGATTGAATTAATTTTTGACACATGCTTAAAGCAAGTTGGTAGAAAATCTTTTCTTTGGCCCAAAATACTTTATTGGTGGAGAATAGTGATTGTATTGTATTGTGACGCTGCTTACAGTCAGATTGTAGCTGTGGCATCGCGTCACGGCATATCCAAACGTTTCCCACTGGATGGTCAGCTGGCGGGCGCGGACGTCCACCACATTGACGTTCTGGGGTCCGTGGACGGGATCTGAAGTGACAGCAGACGGAGAAACAGTCAGCAGTCGGATCAGAGCAGGAATCGATCCACTGAGTCCTGGACTCGCTTAATCTGGCTGCAGTCTGAAACAAGCGGCTAATCCCTAATCAGTGGCTGAATCTGATGGATTAAATGTCTGCAAATTAACTTAATGTTAATTCACTTAATGTAAATGATATCTTACATTCCTTAAGAATCTTACATTTCTATCTTACATTCCTTAAGAATGTAAGATATCATTTAGGAAGCTTTAGAGTAAGATTGTTAAACTGAGGAAGCTATCAATAAAAAAAATGCACATTTTAGATTGCCAGAACAAAGAAAAAAAAAAATCAAAATAGAAAACTGCACTCAGAAATACATGCATTTTTTTCTAACATGTTCAATGGCGTAAAGACACAACCAAACAAAAAAAAAGAAGAAGAAGAAGAAGTGGGATGGTATTTCTCAAAATGTAGATTAAATTGATTCACTGGCAAAAACAGAAAGTCTCAATGTAAAACATCCAGAACTGCAGAACTGGAGGCACTGAGCAGAAAACAAGAGCATAATGAGGAAACCAACGACTTCATCATGAGCAGGTGTGACAGACAGGAAACGAAACAAGAACAACAAAATAAAACAGGAAGTCAACCAATCCAGAGATATCCGATCACCAGGGGGCGCCGCAGTGTAAACAGGACAGACCCCACAAGGACCAAAAACTGAGGTCTTTCCTGGATTTAGGATTTTATTAGAAATGCCACAGATAATGTTCTTCTTTGTTTTTTCCTCTTTACAAATTATTAGCGTCACAGTTTGCTGTCAGACGGTTTTTGGCACAAAACAGAAAAAATTATTGAAAATCTTCCCAGTTCCATAGAAAAACTTAGAAAGAGAAATATATATCCAAATCAGCAGAAATATTAATCAGATCCATTTAAGGGTTAAAGAAAAGTTTGACTGGTCTGGAGTTAGAAACGGAAAACTGCACTGCCAGTTTCCGTATCTTGTCTGCAGCTACATTTAGATCCCAAACTTTAAAATCTCAGAAATATGAGATCACCTCGAACCAAAGTCAGACCTTTAAAACTGCTGTGGTTGAAATGTTGGACAAACTGGTATGATGGCATCTAAAAAACAACCTTCACTCAAATATTTTCATGTTTCATAAAATAATAAATAGAATTGGATTTTTTGAGTAGTTTTGACTCTGGCTGCAACAGTCAACCTGTCCTACTTCCACTCACACACACACCCACGCCCACACACCCATACACACGCATACACCCACTCACACGCACACACCCTCCATGCACTGTCCCAGCCATATGTTGGCCCCTCATCCGCTGCTTTCTCTAACCACAACTGACTCTCCTCTAACGAGCTTGTTGAAACTCATCTTCCTGTGTGCCTAATTAGCTCCTATCAGCTAACGACGGCAACCAAAGCAGGTCACTGCATAATTTAGAGGCTGTACTAGCTGTACTTTATGAAGGAAAATTAACATTTTATTAATGGTGGAGGTGGATCTCCCTCTTCACACCCCCCAAAAAAACGTGCAGTAGAAATGATTCCTGGCCGTAAAGCGGACCTTGGTTGATATGTTGGATAAACAACTCACAACCCAGCCAATAAATCCTTCTCTGGATCTTCACATTGATTCACAAACAAAAAGTTTTTTTATCAGCACTTGGGGATTTTTTTTATTTTAATTTTAGTTTTTCACCAAAACTTGTGGACAAGAGATGCAAAAACATCTAAATGTGGTCAGAAAATCTTCAGAGTGTCGGGTTGAAATGTAAACTGAACTAATACAAGCATATTTGACAAACTTCTCATTGCATTTTTGTTTTTAATTAAATACTGGATTGATCAATGGGAACTTTTTGCAATGAATCCAACCCGTATCACTAATAGCATTTATGAATGCAGTCGAGTGCTTGAAAAGATTATTCCCCCAAGCTACTTAATACGATGTCAGTTGAGCCAAATAAGACAAAGATTAGACAACGGGATCCTGGATAAGCCAAGACCATCTGAGCTGAATGTTTCTGCTGGTTGTGTTCACATACATCCAGTCTTGTGCTTTTATTTCCATCAGTTTAACTCCAGAGGTCTGGAAAATGTTTACCTGAGCTCATGTTCTTCCTTTGCATGGCTGGTATTAAATATCTTAGAGAGCAGCTGGTCTGCTCCTTTGCATGTTATTTCTCTTTTTGTTTAATCGGGTGCTTAGTTTTTTGGATCATTTCTGAGGGTTTTGTTACAGTATGGGGAGGTTACCATCTGCTGCAGGTCTTTTGGTGACCAAAGACAAGCTTCCTAAACAAAGCTTCCAATAAGTAGCTCTTTTGTTCCTGTGAAACTTTTTGTTTGAGAAAGTCCAATAACTCAATTGAAATTGTTTATTGGCAACCAATTCTGGTTTTACAGACTCACAATCCATTTCTACCTCCAGCTTGACATTTAACAGTGATTGAGACAAATGTCAGAATAGTATTCAATTAATCTGGACAACCTCACACCCAAACAAAACTTCCTACTTTTCTCAGGAACAGGAGCTACCAAGTGTCACAACATGACATTACAGTAAAATGTCTCCAACAAGCTGTTGCTTTGTTGAAACACACACACACACAATAAAATTCCTCAATTACAGAGACATAATCCCCCATCACTGAGTCATGGAGTGAATAGAAACAGGTTTTCACAAAAAAACTGCGATACATCAAAGCTTATCTGGCCGTTGATTTAAAGAACAGCTTCAACCGAGGTTACTACATCATAAATTTGCTGAGTTCTGGGATAAAACCAACAACAGCATATAGACATTTATTTAATCCTGTAGCTTAGTTTGGTTTTGAAGAATCCTAATCTTTTAGTAAATCTAACTAATGCCAACATGAACCCTCACTAATCGGAGATGGAAGAAGCTTTAGCAGAGTTAATCACCAGATTAAAAACAAAGTTTGAATCATTTCTAAGTGTTTGTTTAAATAGAGCCATCTCCCTCCAGTGTCAGGGGGATTGAAGTTTCTCCATCTCATTTTCTGCTAAATCGAAGGTCATCTGAGAACCGATTCTAAAATGTTTGCTGAGAAAACAACCAGTTGCAGACAGATGGAGTGATATGGAGAGCAGGAGAGCTTAAGTTTGAATTATAACTTTGTTTACATCGTTACAGTGATGAGACCTCCCCAGATGACCTTGGTCATGACAAATGCCAGATTTTCTATATCATTCATTTCCTGCTCCACTCCTTCCTCACGCCACATTAATTATTCCTTTCCGCATCCATTCAGTCGTTTCTTCACACCCACTCTGGACCTGGCTGAACCTCTAACATTTGTCGAGATCAACAGAATGACAGACGAACGTGCTGAGAAATATAGGATCATTAGGTGTCTAAAACAAGACTTAATAATCAATAATAAGAAAGGAGAGGCTGGGTTTGGAGTGAGAACATGCCAACTGACAGATGGGATAAAATATGTATGCATGGAGGAAGAACAATATGGCTCACAGGGATATGGTCCCAACAGTGGCTGCTGGCCTCATTAATCAGGAACGGTCAAGGGTTGGCATGTTAGCTTTCACAAGCTGTGAAAGGCCAGAGTAGATGGCACAGCTACAGCACAGTGAGACAGTGAGGCATGCAGCAGCGAGATTACAACACCCCTTTCTCTTCACCATCATCAATACCTGAAGCACAAAAGAGCCACAATGAAAACAAACCACAGAAACCAAATCACTGGACGAAAACTCCTGCTATAAACTACAGTACATTTGCAACCAAAGGTTTACAAAAAAAGACATGGAGATTTTTTTCTCTAAGTAGTTGTGTTTCCTTTGACCATGTAACTGGGCAATTTGACATTTCAGAAAAAATAAAAAATAAATAAAAAGTTTTGATGTTATGATTTTTTTTTTTTTTTTTTGCCCGTTTCAAAATTGGCTTATCAAGCAAAACTGTAATGGAAACAATTTTTACACACATGTCAAGGCCTATAATGATAACAAATGATAAACAATTATGTTTCAATATTATTTCAATTTATCATTTTAGTAATATTTTCCTGGGATATTCATCAAACTAATCTGGGCTTTAAGATGGGATGCCTGCAATGAAGACTTTTTTTAAATAAATAAAAAGTTTTGATGTTATGATTTTTTTTTTTTTTTTTTATCCGAATGAATATTTAAAACTTGAACTTGACATTTTAAATATCCAAAATAAATAAATAAATAAAGGAGCAAACAAAAGAATTAAATCAATTAAAAAATCTCTGTAGACAAAATTGTCCTTCGAAGTTGAGACCGAAGCACAAGACTGGAAACTTTTGTCCGTCAGTTGTTGGTGGTGAGAGAGAAAAGAGAAAAACAAAAATAATGAAAATGGAAATTATTGAGTGAGTTTGAATTTAACATAAGCGTCATTAATTTACTGCTTATTGTGACCACAAGTCACATGATCAACGGCCGAGTGTTGCTGCTGGAGCAAAACATCGGCCGATATTAGTCATTTTTCACAAATAGCATCGGATCAATAAATAAAACTGTGCAAATATTAACAACCAATATTTATATTCACCTTTACCATTTTTTTCTGGAAATGGCAGGAGGAGGCTGGTTATGTCTAGTCCAGAATATTCTTCTTGAGTTTACAAGTTACTTTTTGGAAAAAATACAAGGTAATTTAAAGAAAACACTTAGCATACTTTAAACCAAACAACTAAGTTTTGCATTCCCAAAACTTTCTGAAAGTTCTAACTTAGTTCGCCTGACATCTCAGCATTTTATGTGAAATATTGTGTGTTCTCTTTACCTTTCAGGTGTGGTTTAAAAATTATACGTTACTTTTCCAGAAATGTCCTGATGACATCTTTTTTGCATAAAAGCTCATTTTTAATAATCAGCTGGAATTACAGGTTACTTTCACACAAGCTTCAGGATGCCAACAGGTTGCACAACTAAAATGCACAAGTTTTTCTTTAAAGCTATTCATTTTA